ACAGTCCATGGGGTCTAAAGACATGCCTGAGCACACATGTATGTACCTCTGGTAATTGCCTTTTTAAATCTTTTCTGAGTTACTCTCAATGGGAAGGTAAATCTTATAGGAACTACTCAAGCACATCTAGAGTAGACTCACCTGTTTTTTTTTAGAAAAAAATTAAGAATTAACATTTAGTTTCATGTTAAATAATGTATATGAATTATGTTATTTTTTTACTGCTATTTAATATCTTAAATATTTCTACTTTATCTCTGTGAAGCTGTTTTTCTCCATCAGAAAGCATGCACAGTGTCCAATGAGTAAAACATTAATAATAATAGCAAGTACTACTTAATGTTTCAATTACTCTTCTAAATGCCTTATATATACGTTACTTCAGTAAATCTTCACATCAACATACAACTTAGGCAGTAGTTTTACAGAAGAATAATTCCCATTTTACAAACAAGGAAACTAAGGTCCCAGAGGCTAATATGCACCTGTACCACAGGTAGTATATGATGAATTATAAGAGTTCATGCCTATAACCATTATTCGGTACTGTCTCCTAAAAGCACAAATTGTTATCTCTGACACTAGTTTGGATCATTATTAACCCCCAAACCTTATTATTTATAAGGTTTCATTTGTCTAATTTTGCCTAACTTCTAATGCAATGTGTGGAGTAAATAAACATTGTAGATATATGATTTTATTAAATGGAATAGTTTAATATCAGCATCAGTTTATTTCATTATTTTTAATTTTTCTAGGTTGTATGAGTGATTTATCAGAAATTCTTTAAGCACTAAAGCAAGCTTCAGAATTCTCAAACTTACACATTTTAAAAATTTATCTACAAAGTAAGAACTATAGGAAAATTAGATCCAACTTAATTAGTGCATAATCTGCAATAGTTGAATTAGATTTTATATTATAATGTTAACTTTTGTCATTAATAAAAATCCCTTTCTCTCTCTCCTTTTTCTCTCTCCTCTTCCCTCTTCCTCCTTCCCTCTCTTTCTCTGTCTCAGCTATTTGCTCTTATCATAAACATGACAAGCTGTAAGACACGAACAAGTGTGTACTTAAGCAAAATAGTTATTTCCTTAACATGACTCAGCAAGGCACCCTAGAGATTATGCTGTTACTGATTTCACAGGTCTCTTGTGCATGTGAATTTCCATGAGAGTCTATTCAACTGGTGTGACTAAGAAAGAACAATGTTCCTCTATACAAGGTGGGTTTTGCATTGTCCCACACATAGCCTGCTGATGGCCGTGGGATGGCAAAGTCACCTTCATTAGACGGAATTTAATAGCGAATCAAAGTTCTTGTGGAGAATAGACTGATCTAAACTTTAGCCTCCCTTGGGTCCCGCTGAAAGATTAGAGGGAAAGAGTAGGGCCTTAGTAAGTTGAATGTATCAGATTGTTTTTCACTAATAGTTCTCTTGTAAAACTCTGAAAACCACCCAGTTTAACCCTTAAAAAAAAGGAGAAAGAAAGAGGAGTGGGATGGGGGGAGGGAAAAAAACTCAAATAGTATACCACAGGCATTGATTTCATTGATTTCTGAGGCATGCTGTTATTCCTGTAGCAAGTTCCACAGTTTGGATTATGCACACATGACCAAAATTTGTCCATCAAAAGTAAACCAGTTTGCTTGCTCCATTTAACAGTCCATGCCAAACGCAACAATACTAAGACTTTAATAGTTTATAAAATTTAATTGCCTTTAAGTTTTGTTCTATGTGCAGTCCTTCAATGACATCTTTTCAAAAATATTCCGAATCTGAAAAGAGTTAATGGTGGAAGAAAGAGGAGGCGTGACACGGGTGAAATGTATCAACCACACCTGTACGGCAGGATCGGACACAGTTAACGAGAAAAAAGGAAGGAGAAACAAACGCGTTAGATGATCTTCAGTCTAAAGAAATCTCTGTTAGGCAACGGGGGCATTTTGCTCCTTGCCTTTTATTCCAACTTCCTTTCAAACAATTTGTTAAGTGAAAAGAGAGATGATGGCAGCTCAGCATATCAAAGCTCAGTTATCAGTTGGCTTATTCTAGCATCTTTGGTCTTTTGTGGATGCCTTATGATGTGTTGTGTGGTAACACTGGAAAGTCAATCTTATACCAGTGATTGCCACATAAATGTTAAGGAGTCTGAAAAAAAAAATCACAAAATAGAAATCGTTGAGCTCTCAGGTATAAAGTGGCACTGATAAGAATTAATGTATCCAAAAAGATTTGGGTAGGTTTCTTTTTCCTTTTATGGGGGGAGGATAGGGGTGTGTAAAGAGGGGCTGACTTATTTTTCAATAGGGTGAGAAGGAATGTCTAAGAGAATGAAAAGGCATAATGGAAACGTTTTCATTATCAATTCTTTTAGAATTGGCTGTGAGCATGCTGTCCCAATTAATGACAAAACTGAATAAAAAAGCTCACTGCCATGACAAAGAAATCTTTTTCCTTTCATGTAATATTTTTATTTTTAAAATCCAGAGGAACAACTAAAAAATAAACTGAACTTTAAAATCAAAGTACACCTTTTGGGGGACAAATGTACTGTTGCTAAATCTATAATAGGAAGGCTTTTAAAACCCTTGAAGGATAGTGTACCGTCAGCAGAAGACACCTTCATAGGGTAGTGAAGAAAACTGAATGAAAGAAGGTAATTTCGGAGCTCTGTGTAGGAGTACGGGAACCAGTAAGAGACGGTGAGTCGGCCAGGGACAAGTCCCAGGAACCCCTCACCAGTGGAAGGGTCCTGGGCAAGGGGAAGAAGCAGCATTTTCAGACCAAGTGAGAGCTCAGCCACGTGAGAGGGATACAGCCACTGAGCCAAGGCCAGAGACAGAGAAGAAATACCTTGACCTCTTTCTCCTCCTGTCCACTCATCTCCTGCTGTGCTTCCAGGAGCCAAGCCCCTCCAGAAGCCCGAATGAACTAAGTGCGGCTGTCTTCAGGATCAGACCTCTTTCACCAGCCCAGGGCACAGCTCAGATCAGAGAGAGGAAGGAAACTGACAGTGGGGTTTACAGATGCATGACCAATGGAGATACTGAAAGAGAAATCACTTGTTATTGAGAGCCAAGAGAGCCTGAATCACAGTCCTTAAAGCATGAGGAGTCAATTGCCTGTGACTAAGACTGTATTTCTGACTATAGTCTCAGTAATGATCTCTTAACTGTGATGGATCACAATAATGCAATCTTCTTTCAGAAAGAAAAAAATGTTTTTAAAAGATAAGGTAAAAAGGAAAACTAAAAAGGTACATGAGATTTTCTTTATGGATAATTTTATCCATAAAAATGACAAGTGTAATTAATCTGTTTTGTTCTGGTTAACCATACTAATTCTTATTTTTATCTTTGTATAACTATATGAATTAGTGTCTTTATTTTGTGATAGCGGTATGACATAGCATGACAAATTTCCTTCACAATCACTTTCGTCTAGCCCTTAGAATGTTTTAACACTGGTTAGCACAGTATATTGACTTTAGTCTGCAAATCCTCTCTAAAAGGGAAGAAAACTGCAACAAAACCAGTGTTTCAATGAAGTGCTTCTTTAGGAGATCAAAAATACATCATGTATCACAACACTTCAGAGTTGAAAGGGACTTTAAAAATCAAGTATAAACCTTTTATTTCACAAGTGAGGACAAAAGTCTAGAGGTAGTTGTAGTTTTCCTCTTATAATACAGTAATGGGTTTTAGCAATTAGGACCACAACCCAGATTTCCTGACTCCTTATCTGGTTTACCCATCTTCTCATGGTACGCATGTGTGCTGTGTCGCTTCAGTCATATCTGACTCTTTGCAACCCTATGGACTATAGTCCTCCAGGCTCCTCTATCCATAGGATTCTCCAGGAAAGAATACTGGAGTGGCTGCCATTTCCTCCTCCAGGGGATCTTCTAGATTTTACAGATGCATGACCAATGGAGATACTGAAAGAGAAATCACTTGTTATTGAGAGCCAAGAGAGCCTGAATCACAGTCCTTAAAGCATGAGGAGTCAATTGCCTGTGACTAAGACTGTATTTCCGACTATAGCCTCAGTAATGATCTCTTAACTGTGATGGATCACAATAATGCAATCTTCTTTCAGAAAGAAAAAAATGTTTTTAAAAGATAAGGTAAAAAGGAAAACTAAAAAGGTACATGAGATTTTCTTTATGGATAATTTTATCCATAAAAATGACAAGTGTAATTAATCTGTTTTGTTCTGGTTAACCATACTAATTCTTATTTTTATCTTTGTATAACTATATGAATTAGTGTCTTTATTTTGTGATAGCGGTATGACATAGCATGACAAATTTCCTTCACAATCACTTTCGTCTAGCCCTTAGAATGTTTTAACACTGGTTAGCACAGTATATTGACTTTAGTCTGCAAATCCTCTCTAAAAGGGAAGAAAACTGCAACAAAACCAGTGTTTCAATGAAGTGCTTCTTTAGGAGATCAAAAATACATCATGTATCACAACACTTCAGAGTTGAAAGGGACTTTAAAAATCAAGTATAAACCTTTTATTTCACAAGTGAGGACAAAAGTCTAGAGGTAGTTGTAGTTTTCCTCTTATAATACAGTAATGGGTTTTAGCAATTAGGACCACAACCCAGATTTCCTGACTCCTTATCTGGTTTACCCATCTTCTCATGGTACGCATGTGTGCTGTGTCGCTTCAGTCATATCTGACTCTTTGCAACCCTATGGACTATAGTCCTCCAGGCTCCTCTATCCATAGGATTCTCCAGGAAAGAATACTGGAGTGGCTGCCATTTCCTCCTCCAGGGGATCTTCTAGACCCAGGGATCAAACCTGCATCTCATATCTCCTGCATTGGCAGGTCGGTTCTTTACCACTAGTGCCACCTGGGAAGCCCCTCCCATGGTACAGTTCTCATTTATATTCTTATTATACAGTAAGGTCAATTTTATTTCAAAGAAACAATACATTCCTTCCTAAAACAGGCTGTACAAAAGTGCACCAAGAAGATGTACCTATCACGTTAATATTTCTCAACCAAGACTTGAAGAGACCATGCAGAGTAGAAATGATGTCCTTGTGGATTGCCAGAAGCTCTGAGAACTGCCCGTGCTCCTCATCTCCCCGAGGACCTCAGATCTATCATAAGCCCACTGGCCAACTGTGTACGCAAAGGATCAAGCTCCCTCGGCCTCATATTTTCTCCAGCAAACCCAGTTCATTATTTTGCAAGACCTATAAATGAAAGAATTTTATCTTGTGTGTTTTAACTCCATGAAAAAAAAATATCAGGGCTCAAAAGGAGTCTCCTAGATAAAAATCGATTCATTTGACTTTTGGTTCTGTCTTATCTTTTCACTTTCACACTCCTATTGCTTAATCTGATCATTTACTATTCCCGTTTCCTCTTTAATGTCTGCAATTTTTAACTATGTTGTCTTGCTTTATTATACTTCCCTGCAGTGAGCAATGACATATAAAAAGAGGACCCAGCCTTTTAGGCAGGTGTGTGCTTGCTGTGTGCTGAGAGATAGGTCACTGAAAGTCCATGCAAATTAGAGCACTTCACAGGGAAGCAAAACTTCATCTCGAGCAGCAGGTGTGTTGTAGAAGAGAGCTGTAAATGCCTCTGTGTGAATGATGGCTGTTGCTGTTTGTCTATGCTTTATTCTTGCAGTTCACCTAATGGGTCAGGTTATTGACATCTGAACTCTACAGAAATGATCATGCTAAGCTCTTCTGTCTCGTGTTCCACTAGTATGGGGCACTGATCTTCTTAGGACAAGAAAATCACCAAGTGTTCTGCCTCCATTCCTCTCAAAAACAAAGATTTGCAAATTTCAGGAATAAAATAATTGTTCAAGGAACATAGGAATATAAGTTGTTTATTTGGCCTCTGGGAATAAAAGCTTTAAAAAGTTTTAGTCTTCTACTATGAGATTATAAAAGTAAAACAAATTAAATTGTATTAAAGCACATGGTATTTGCAATTTATTTTTCAAAAAGTTTCCACAATCAGAATAGTATTATGCTAAAAATACTCATCATAAAGATTTTAAGGAGTGAAATAGACTTACATCTTTCTAGAATATCTTAAACTCTTGCTTTTTTATAAAGTAGGTTGGAAAATCTGTTGTTCTCAAATGTTTGTTTTTGGACTAAGGCCAGTCTGTGGCAAATATTTAACCAGTCTATACTGAAAAGAGAAAAATAATATTAAGGGCAAAGGAAAGAGAAAAGGAGAATTCTAAAATGCCAAGTTTTATTTCCTGAGGGAAGACCCTAGTTTCCTCTAGGATTTTGCCATTCTTTTCTTGGAGAGTTAATAATATGATGATAAATGATGGCAAAAATTTTTAATGCCCTTTCTTAACAAAAAGTATTTGGCAAACCCATGTCAATATTCTTCACTTTTTTCTTAATTTAAAATTGTTGCTGATCTGTGAAATGCACATGTCTAGGAAGGTTCTTATAAACCCTATGATGCCAAACCTGATTCTACTGAAGAGCCGGACAATCAAATGTAGCTGAACTATTCTATTTATGAATTATAGTAACTGTTGTTATCAATTCCAAATGCTGCAGACAGTGAGACGGTATCAATCCCTACCAACTGAAGGTGAACTGCAAGTTTTAATCTTGTTAAAAAATAGTCACACCGTTGGATTTTCCTCATTGTTGTCACTACCTCTATTAACTTTCTCCTTATACTTCAACATGCCCACTCAGCTGTCTTTTCTATCGAATTGACCCTGGAATTTTCTGGATGACCCCATATCACTACATGCTGCTTATATTCATATTACCCAACAGGTCAATCCTTATAAACTGAAAAATTATCTCCAAACCTCCTGCACTGGAAAATTGACAGCATCGGCAAAAAGTTAACAATAACAATTCAAAAAAGCAGGTGATATGAGATAAGAAAGTGGCTTTTCTATTAGGGAAAAAAAAAATGAACTCCTTATTGCCAAATTCAGACTTAAACTGAAGAAAGTAGGAAAAACCACTAAATCATTCACNTCTCATCAAGAAAATTAGAGATACCAAGGGAATATTTCATGAAAAGATGGCACAATAAAGGAAAGAAATGGTATGGACCTAACAGAAGCAGAAGATATTAAGAAGAAGTGGCAACAATACACTGAAGAGCTAAACAGAACAGATCTTAACGACCAAGATAACCACAACGGTGTGATTACTCACCTAGAGCCAGACATTTTGGAGTGAGAAGTCAAGTGGGCCTTAGGAAGCATCACTACGAACAAAGCTAGTGGAGGTGATGGAGTTCCAGTGGAACTATTTCAAATCCTGAAAGATGATGCTGTGAAAGTGCTGCACTCAATATGCCAGCAAATTTGGAAAACTCAGCACAAGCCACAGAACTGGAAAAAGTTCAGTTTTTATTCAGGTGAAAAGAAAGGCAGTGTCAAAGAATGTCAAACTAACGCACAATTGCACTCATCTCACGTGCTAGCAAAGTAATGCTCAAAATTCTCCACGCTAAACTTCAACAGTACCTTGAGTACAGTTTCTCATCTTCTTCATCATCATGACCTTCTCCTTTACCTATTCTTCTACACTCTCCCAAAGACCTGCTCAAATAGTACATTCCCAGGGAAGCCTTCTCAGAATCCCAATTAGATCAGACTCTCCTGTCCTGTACTTTTTTTTTTCCACTACACCTTTTATTATTATTTTTTTTTCACTACACCTTTTATTATTTTTTTTTCACTACACCTTTTATTATTTTTTTTTCACTACACCTTTTATTATTTTTTTTTGTTTCACTACACCTTTTATTATTTTTTTTTTTCACTACTACTGTCCTGTACTTATAGCATCTCGGCTGCCCATTCAGAGCTCAGTGCCAATTTTGAAAGTATATGTTTGACCATGTTATTTGACTATTATCTTCTAGCGACAAATAAGTCGGTTCTGCTCTTTTGTTTATTCTTAGCATCTACAAGGTACCTGGCATATTCTATTCAGTAGATTTTTTGTGTGTGTAATTAAATGACTAATGACTAAGTGAATGAATGAATGAGTAGATTAGAATTGAGTTGAACTGAATAAAATATGTGAATGAATGTTGTTGCTAAGGCTTATATCTGCCTAAATTTGAAGCATATATAGTTATTAATGTAATTTAAAATTTCTGAAGAATTAAAAAGCTTTCTTCATTATCTTATAGTCTATTACATGTTTTATCATTTAAAAATTATGCTTTATTTTATGCTTACTTTAATCAGTTTACATTTGTTTTTTATTTTAAACTATAACCATCTTAACCACAAGTTTCTTTACAATTCATCTAAGGCTTCCTTGAAGTTCATAGGCCAGGGTCTTACACATAATAGAATTTACTATACACAGCATTAACTTGCTTCTCTAAATTCTGGAGTTTTATTCTGCCTAGTGAAACTTAAGCATTTGTCTGATTTATTTTCACTGAGTGATATAACATAGCTAACTTGACTTTTACTTTTATTTTTGGATTTATTTTCATCATAAGACCTTTATAAAGAATGTATTAATTTCTGATCTTTTTTTTTTTTTGGCTTGGTTTTTCTTAGTTATTATGCCTTGATTTCTTTTTTGCATTTATTTTTTCAGGATTTAATTATTATCAAGCTTAAGGACTTAAGTGTACATTTTCTATGAGTGCCTCAGGAAGTTTTTTAAACATGGTGGAGTGGAGCACTATTTAAAGGAAAGTATACTATTTTGATCAGCTTTCCATATTTAATTTACATTTCTGAAGTTGGCTTTTTTTTTTAACAGTTTACATGTTAAATCAAAATATGTAATTATACATACAATTGGCATCTTAGAAATTTTGCCTTTGAAATGGAAGTGTTCTGATCTTTATTATTCTTGGGTTTTCCCTCAAGTTTAATGCTAAATTTATTGTTTTATCCTACTATTTTCTTTTAACTTACTTTCTCCTTTAATTTAGTCCAGCATTTGTCAATACTTTTCAGGACCTCTTTACATTCTTAAAAAGTATTGATGATCCCAAAGATCTTTTGTTTGTGTGGGTTATATCTATCCATATTTATAATATTAGAAATTAAAACAGAAATACTAAAATATTTATTCAGTCTCTTAAAGTAACAATAAACTCTTCATATGCTAACATAATGTAATAAAATAAGTCATTTTCCAAAACAGAAAAAAAATAGTGATAAGAATAGCATTGTTTTACATATTTGCAAATCTCTTAATAGAAAAGACCTGTTTCAAGAAACTAGCCTGGTGGCTGGTTAACAGGAGTGAGAGGATGGGGCTGACTGGAGATATTAATCCAGGAGTACAAACTTCCAGTTATAGATCAGTAAGTTCTGGGGATCTAATATACAGCATAGTGCTCATAGTTAATAACACTAAATTACATACTTGAAAGTTGCTAAGAGAGTAGATCTTAAATATTCCCACCACAAAAAAGAAATGGTAATTATGTGACATGATGCAGGTATTAGCTAATCTTATGGTGATAATCATTTTGCAATGTATAAGTGTACCAAATCAACATGCTGTACACCTTAAATTCACCCAGTGTTATATAGCCACATCATCTCAATAAAGCTGGAACTTTTTAAAATTTTTAAGTAAGTAATGTATAAATATAAAAAGAGAACAGCTCTTTCAAGTCATGCTGAAAGTTCAAGTAAAATTAGGAGTAAGGACTGATCACTGAACTGAACAATGTGATCCTGGATCACACTGGTGACTCCTCACTGCTTCACTCATCTGAGAAATTAAATTTTTAGTTAGACATCTCAAAAATCCAAGAGAACTTCTATTCTAACATAATCCACACGCCATATTAATCTTAATGGTGGTCTGCCCTTGCTGCTGTTATTGTTCAGTCACTCGGACACGTCCAACTCTTTGTGGCTCCATGGACTGCAGCACACCAGGCTTCCCTGTCCCTCACAATCTCCAGGAGTTTGCCCAAGTTCATGCTTATTGCATTGGTGATGCTGTCCAGCCATTTCGTCCTCTGACGCCCTCTTCTCCTTCTGCCCTCACTCATTCCCAGCATCAGGGACTTTTCCAATGAGTCATCTGTTCACATCAGATGACCAAAATACTGGAGCTTCAGCTTCAGCATCAGTCCTTCCAGTGAATATTCAGGGGTTGATCTCCCTTAAGATTGACTGGTTTGATCTTGCTGTCCAACAGACTCTCAGGAGTCTTTTCCAGCACCACAGTTTGAAGGCATC